GCGCTGCGAACACAACAACGACATGTGCTTCCAAGAAATGGTAGCCATTGTTCATGGTTACTGCACCAAACTTCATTTGGACAAGCTGACATGAAGGATGGAGACGCTTCATGTGTTGGATGTCTTTTCCCGCGAATCTTGCAAGTCCAGATTCCCTTGGGGATTCTCTCCGCGCAAACCGTCTGATTTCTTTGTCCAGCTCACCTCGCGCCCAGGGCTGACAGAGTGGGTCCTTGAAGACCTGCTCCGTCCACTCCGGTCTGTCATGCAAATGTAGAGACAGCTCAGCTCCATCAAATCTCACCGGGTATTCCAGGAGGCTTCCTTTCTTGCCTTCGCCTCGGTTGTCTGACAGCCAGAAAAAGAAGGGATATGGACAGCATGTGCAAGTTGATCATATGCTGCCGTAAAGCAACTCGAGAAAGGGCTGGATAGGGTACATCGAGAAGGTGTTTACCTTGAATGCGTTGATGTTTTTGGAAACACGTGGCCTGCCAGGCTGGCAACAGTAAAAGTGTTGTCAACATGACGAACACAATGGTATATGATTGTTGCTGCCGAGCCTTGCAGGATAGGAGCCCAGAACCGTTTGCTCCCTCTCCTTGCGAGCCAGCGCTGCCTTCCTGATGGTCTGCGTCCTCGAGTCTGCAGCATCGCAACGCGGCAACTTTGACATTGCTTGAGGGACAAGCCTGTGGTGACCCCAAGCTTGTAGATCTTCGCTGAATCGGTGTGGAGCACATGCCAGAGGGGTCTTCCTCGTCGCAGTCCACAACACACGCGCACACACACACACTCATATGTCACTCGCTTTGTGGATCCTTCTAAACCAGGTTCCAAAAACTTGAATACTTCTCACGTGCAGCAAGTCCTTTTCTGAACGTCCGGCGCTACGTTTTCCTTGCAGAGCAAACGGTTTTCTCGATGCCAATCCAGGTTAGATGCATTGTCTACCCATCACAACAAGCAGCTCGACATCTGGAGGGGGCTGAAGCTGGCCGAGATCTCCTCAGGTGCTCGCTGGATTAAGAGTAATCCTCCTGAGCCTGCAAATGCACAAGCTGCCGTTGCCAAGCTCATGTTGCATGGGTCTTGCCCGGTGCAAGCTGGAGAGGCGAAGAGATCTAAAGCAAGGAGCCCATGCGCAATGGATGCAATAGTCGTCAGAATCAATGTCTGAGTGGCTGATGCCAAAGCTTCCTGAAACCAACTTCAACACTTGAATGTCCCTACGCTCAGCACAGCGACGATCCAGGAGTGCCGGCTGAGCGGAGAGTCAGGGGTCTCCTGGGAAATTTTGGACCAACCTCAACCGAATGTGCATGACAACTGGCACACCTGTCGAGCATTTTGCGAAACAAAGGATGAGCACAGAATCATCCAGTTGTGTTGCGAAAGCATCTTCCCTATGCTTTACGCCTTTCTGGAGTCCTGCATGAAAAGCCTCAGCTTAATTCAGCTGAATTCTGGAGCTGCCATAAGATCAGAAGCTTCGAAAAAGACGTGATGAGAGGAGCGGCAACAAGCAAGCACAAACTCCTCAAGAAGAGTTGGTGCTGAATGCGAAGTCACACCACTGCTGAAGATGCACAGGCTCAGCTTCGGCGTCGCGTGCAGTCTTCGTGACAATTTGTCCTATAACATCTACTAAATCCGATGGCAACGGGGACACAACATCGTGTTCCAAATCTCGCACATCTCCAAATCGTATCCGGTACCGATGCAGCGCGTTTCTTGGACACCAGTGCCGGTCAGAGGAAGCTGTTCCCTGACTTGCATATATATCATCTCTGCACACTGGGTGGCCAATATGAGCTAGGTGGGAACGAATCTGGTGTCGACGCCCAGTCGCAATTCTGATTGCCACCAGGGTTGCTGACACAAACGCATACTTGTCATAGCCTAGATAACCCAAAAGGATTGGTTTTAGATAGCTTCGGCTTGGTTTGCCCTGACCGCTGCTTCGGCTCAGTGAGCCACCTCGCCAGTACACCCCAGCATTGATCTCAGCCCTCTTACGGCATATCCACCCATGCGACAGAACGTTGTAGTCCCGCAGTATCTGGCCAGCAGCCAGCTGCACGTTTAGCGCATAATATGCCTGGTAGGTTCTGGCGGCGAGCACCAACCCAGAGCTTGGCACGTCTAATCGATGCAAGAAGCCAAAAGTAGCATCTGCATCTGAAAAAATTGGGGGAGCATGATTTTGCGATGCCAGGAGCGAGCACAGTGAGCGGTAGCTTGTCTCACCGTCCTGGCAGCGGCGTTCCACTTCCCAACCAGGTGGCTTCAAGACAACAAGGAGGTCCGGCACGTCAAACAGAATGACTGGCACGTCCTTCGGCTCCAGAATGTGCTGGAACGTGCCGGGCTCCGTGCCGTGCTCAACACGCTGGGATTTCACTGGAATGCTCGTGTGCATGGACAACTCATCCAAGGTGCACCCCGCCACCAGCATGACCTCCTTGACAATCAGACGAAACTCCTGACTCCCCATGCCTGCATAAGTGCAAGCCCACATGCTTCCCAGCATGTGGCTCCGCAGGTTCCGCCAAACGTCCATGGGGAACGTTCTCCTGGAGAGTATTCTCGTGATGCGGTCGATCCACTCTTGCTGAACAAGCTTACAGAGCGAATGCTCAGCATGCCCGGCACTGCCCCATAGAAGCATTAACAGCTCTTCAGAAGTGAAATCATGCAAGAGAGTCAAGCTTCTCGCCGTGAGAAGACTCGTGAAAAGCCGGTTGGCAGCACCCAGCATTTGGATAGCCCACCACATCGTAACTACCTGTTGTGCTCCTTGATTGGAATCGGTTTGCAGGGTGCAAAAAGCCTCCAGCAGCGCTGAATGAATGATGACAGGATCTGTTATACCAAGCCTTGCAAGGGCCCACAGGAATGATGATGGTGGCCGAGATTGGCCCTTCAGCTCAGAATCGATCAAAAGGCTGATGCCCAGATCCAGGTTCCCTGACACTTCGCAAGCGCTGATCGCTGAATTTGTGCTCACAACATCTGGCTGAAGTTCTTCTGTAAGCATCTCAGCAAACAACCGGAAGGCTCTTGACCATTGACCAACCTTCTCATACAAACTGATACCAGCACCGAAGCTCACCTCGTTGCGTCGCAGCGCAGTATGGCACATGCCTGCAACAATGGCAACTGCAGCCTGCCAGTCACCAGACGTCTTAAAGGCTGAACATGTGCTCGTGAAGCTTACCTCAGTCGGGTGCAAGGATAGGAAATCAAGTCTCCGAAGCACCTCCATGGTGTCCTTCCAACGCCCTCCCGCAGCCAATGTCTCAATGACTGAATTGTAAGTGATGAGGTCAGGGGCAATGCGGCGGCTTCCCATCATACGTAAGAGGCCCGATGCTTCCTGCCACAGGCTGCCCTGACCAAATGCACTAATGACTGTGTTCATGCTCGCTTGATTTATGTTGAGCCTCTGCTTGCACATGAACTGGAAGACTTCCAATCCTGCTTGCCATCTCGTGGCCTTCGTGCAAGCATTCACAGCCGCTGTGCAGCAGAAATTGTCTGGAGGCTGCTTCCTTGACTGCATTTCAAACAGAGTCTCGAGTGCCAGTTTCCATTGGCTGTGCTTAGAAACAGAGCCGATGAAACTTGCGTATGTCACCTCATTAGGATGAATGCGACATTTCTGCATGTTCTGCATCAGAACCAAAGCCAGCTGCCACTGGCCACAGGTAGCGCAGGACTTGATCGCACTGCTAAAGCTGTAAACATCTGGCGCCACTGTCCGCTGCGACATGAGACGCAGAACAGCCAAGGTTGTGGACCACTGAGATGACTTTTGGAAGGCATCTATGGCCACACTGTAACTGATCACCTTCTTCACCTTAGAAACGTACAGCCGAACCTTCTACTGCTAAGCCATCTGACATGGCACAAAGTAGGCTGCATCCTAGGCACCTTACGTTCACATTGCTCTGGTTCACTTGTGATTCGTTGCAGCAGTGCCATGACAGCATGCCATCGACCACCTTTGCCGCAAGCGACTTTGGTCGCACCAATCAGCTCCAGCTCGAATTGCAATGATTTCAATCTTGCAGTTTGGAGAAAAGAAAGGCCAATTTGCCATTTGGCATGATCCCCGCTGGTGCTGATGGCCACCCTATAAGTCTGGCACACAAGGAGGCGAGAGGCATGCACTGGACCTACGAGCTGTGCCGACACGACAGCTTGCTGCCAGTCTGGCATCAGTGCTGCCAGGAGCAGAGTTAAGCAGCGGCAAACATTTGTGCGGCAAAAAATCTGCCCGATCAAGAGTGACAGCAGAATTTCTTTCACCCTGTCAAGACAGATCTATTTGGTTTGAGCCAAACCAAATTTGGCCAGCGAGGAGGGATGTTGAAGAAGCAAGGTCAAGAGAAAATCAGGCCAAGCGCAGGAATGCTTCGAGACATCACAAAGAGACATGGAAGGGGGAATAGGTCAGCATGCACACGAGCAGCAGCAGGCATCTTGCATGCAGGTCCTGATTCTTGGGGAAGCTTCATGTAGGTGTGCTGCAGCAGGGGCATCCTTGGGATGGAATCGCTTGTGCATGATCCAGGTGAGAAGTAGACATGGTAATTTGATCACCACTGTCACTCAGCTTGCGGGATGCAAAGCAAGCTCAAAAGTCCTGGTCCATTGCCTGCGCGGCTTCCAGGCGACTACTGGTCGCTGACCAAGCTGGAGCCAAAAGCCGCAGGACCAGGAACAGTCTCTCACATGGCAAAGGCTGGGCTCTTCAGGGTGCATCAGAGTCAAGGCACCCAAGCCAGCACGCAGATGGCACTCGTAGAAGGTCTTGGAGCTCCTCTCCACTTGTCAGGGCATGCCCAAGAAGCCAACATGACTAAAGTCCTCGAAGCAATGTCGTCTTTCCTGGACGAGTGGAAGGTAACCAGACTTATGCCAAAAGAGTGCCCCGTAGGGGCCCGCAGCTTTGTCAATCAGAGGGATGGCAAACATCAATGCTGCCAGACTATTCAACCACGGGATGCTCTGTCTGCAAATGCTGCGCATGTCGCACTGCAGCCCAAGGTCAGTGGCGCCAAGTAGCCTCGGTGCCATACATCACCAAAGTACACTCGGATGATGGAGGCGATCATGGTCCTGATCTGGCAGTCGATCACGCACGTTTCTGCGGTCCTTATGCCTGCGACGTGTGAAGCAGCCAAAACATCTGAACCGAAGCCCTGGCTGAATCGAAACCACGGCAACGAAGGAATTGCTTGCCATCCTCAGCTGCTCTGATAAAACAAATCGCCCGGAGGGACCGTTAGCACACCCAAGTTCTGCACTTGAGTGCATACTTGAAAGACTCTTGGTGCTTTCGAATTGGCACGAGGCCACGCCCTGCTCGGCCATCGGGGTTGAGCCCCAGCAGCTCCAGCCAGGAACCTGAGCAAGGCTACTGGAAGTTGCAGATGTTGACCGCATGATTTCATGAGCTGACTGCTCATTCACACACTGAAGTTTTAGGCGAGTTCTGGAGTTTCTGGCTGGGCGGCGGAACTTGATGATGAACGCAGCAGCGAGGAGGAAGACGGGATAGTACAGAATCAAAGCTGGAATTGCATGCGTGAGCGTGACCACCATCATGACCTAAGCCAGCAACAAGCAGACGAAGCCCGCGCCCTAGATCCGAGGCATCATGCCAGTCTGTAGCCAACGCAACAAAATAACGACAGTAAGTCGCGGACAAACACAGACGATCCAAACCTGAATGCTGAGGGAGCTGAGTCCAACAGAATGACCCCACAGAATAACCAAACGTTTCAACAGTTGGGTGTGCTTCCTCCTTTATAAGTGCACGTCTCGGAGCTGCATAATGATAATGAGAAGGACCGCACGGTGCCAATCTCGCCAACCTTGGCCATCATATTCCTGAGCTGCTGCTGCTGCGCTGGATCTTGCCATTGCACTATATGCCAGTTCGTGTTGCCATTTCTACAAGGCAGCGGCCAATTTCTCCCACAGCTTGCAAGTGTCTCATTGCCGCCTGCTGATTTCTAAGCCCACCTGTGCCCCGAACTGCCAAGCAGCTGCTCCGAAAACAGGTCGTCCGAGCAGACGCGCAAGAAGCCAATCCCAAATTATCATTGACATCATGATGGAACGCCTTGCGTCGCCACACGCCATTAAACACATGTTTGCTTTCTCCGTGATCCCACAGCCAGAGGAAAAGCAACCTCTCATTTCCACATTCAGCCACCAAGATGCACAAACACAGAGGAATGCACAAAGACGTACACATACCTCAGTACTTGCAGTGAAATTCTTTGCAACATCATTGTGCCATACGGCTTGCAGACATTGCTGGAGTAGAGGCTAAGCTGCAGATTGTACATGTGCCACAAGCTTTCCCCTGCCAGCCAATCGATCTTGCCAACAATAGCCAGGGTTTCCAGGACGAGCCTATGCACAGAAAGCAATGCTGCAGCCCAGTTCTGCTTCCATCATAGCAAGTCGAGAGTTCTGCCAAACTGCCAAGCTCCTATCTTCGAAAATTGAACTCCCCAAATTTGCTTGCAAGATGGTTAACCTCCGGAAAACCCTTTTCTTTCTTGTAGCTGAGAAGTCCGGACAAACCCCCAAAAGAAGATGCAATCCTGATAATGTGCTGTTAACAAAGATCTTCCAATTGCTCCCCAGCTTCGTCAATAGCTGGATGCCAACGTAGCACTTCTGCCTAGAGATGGAATGCAGCCCAACTGAGTCAAGAGCAACTCGGCTTAACTACTGTCGAGCGGCGTCTTGCTAAGCTCCTCATAGCGTTCTTCATAATATCTCGATGTGTCAATCAACTGCTGCATCAATGCACACACCCAGCAGGATGCGAATATCACGTAGTACGGCTTCTCCACGATCCTCAGGAGCTGCCAAGCAGGATCACTCAGTTCTTGCTTTCTGCACATACAGTGCCTGCATCTCTCCAAAAGCCCAGGATCTGAAAAAGATTGCAGAATTCCACGGTCACTTGACCTCGATTGCATGCTTCGGTTCGCTTCAATAGGATCGCCTCATGAGCCCAAGCACTAGACAAGGGACTGCTAGGAGGTGAATCTGACAGGTATGGCAAGAGGTAGTGGGCTGCGAGCCGGTCAGCCGCAGCCTGGTGCGGCTGTGACAGCAGCCATGCGACGAGCAGGCTGGTCGCAGCACCCGCTGCAGCCCCTCTCCACGGGTCTCCTTGCAACACACATCGACCTCATCGGCCTGCCTTTCCTAGCAAAACCATGGCGGCATGCATCTCAACATCCTTCTGCAGCAGCCATGCTGGCCAGGCATTGTGTCGGTGTTCAACACCACTACCATGGCCAGGGAAAAGAGGGTGCGATGCAGTTGTTTTGATTGCTTCAGCCTTTTGTTGGTCGTGATAGGCTGGCCCGCAAAAACAGAGGACACAAACAGCCTCCATGTCAATCTGATCATAATTTACTTATGCAATGAAGAGGCAGCAGCCTTAAGCCACACACAACACGCGCTCCATGCATCAGGCAGAGGCAAAGCATAAAAACATTTACAATGCTTAACCAAGCTGCACCACGTGTGCTGCTGGGGCCATTGCCGGCGGCACAAGAGGCCACGCCATGGCATCTGGACTGAAATTCGCGGGGGCCTGTATCTCGATTTCCTGACGAGGGACGGCCCACAAAACATAAGTGAGGACAACATCAGCTCACTAACTCGTCGAAACTGAAAGCCCGCCTGAAGACCTCTAAACACAAGTTCATCTTCCAACAGCCACGCGTTGAACAACATGCCAACCTTTGCAAGGCAAGCAACGCTAACAACAATCAAATTCCAGCACCCCCTTGTGCATCTTGGTGCTTGATTCTGTGCCCCAAGCTGAGTAATTGTCACGCCCAACCTTGGACCTGAGCATGCCACAACCCGACACAAAAAGTCGGCAAAGGGAAGCGCCAATGGCTTGGCCCGCATGCCCCTTCAGTCTACAACAAAGGGCATACGCATTACCAGCAGCTGCGCCCCTGAAAGTGCGATGGAACTACACAGCAAATTGTTTATGACTGCCATGACTCACCGTGTCGAGGGCCGCGCAACTTGTCTATTGCAAGGAGCAAGGCCTGCAAACGCAAAGCAGCACGAAGATGAAGAGTCACCAAAGCAGATGGAAATCAAAGTTGTGTTGCCAACGTGTCCGGTACTTGTTTTTCTCGCTTGTGGCAAATTTGGGCAACGCTTCTGGAAAGAGGTGCCAATTTTTCTCGAAAAGCCTGTCTCAACAAACCAGGTTTCAGAAGCAATCATTTGCCATCGAGGAATTGGTGGAATCAGGAGCTCTGTTGAATTCAAGAAAGGCGGCAGTCTCGGGATCTTCTGCAACCTTAAGTGGCTTATCCCGCTGCAACCCCTCCGTTTTCGTGCCCCACTTGACGTACCTTTTGCTGTCGTAAAACCTCTGTGCTCCCTGGCTGATGCTTGGATCAAGCTGAGGTCAGGACATGGACAAATATTCCTCGGCGACTGTCTTCGCCATGCAACCGGACCTCCTGGCGTGTGATGCAGCTTTGGAACACAACACTTCTGCACCATATGCATCGCACGTCACATCCAATATGCCTCAAGAGCCGATATGAAAACGATCTGCCGCGCTTTCCTTGATTCAGTCAAGCAACAAACACGATAATTTTGGATGCACGGCAAATCACCGGCTAGCAGGAACAGCTAGGGTCAAAAAGGCCGCGCAAAAAAGATGCAGCAGCGCAGCGACGCCCATTTTCGGTGAAGCAGCACCGCACTCGTGCGCTTCATAAATTGTGACGAGGGTAATGGTGAAACAACTTGCAACGGGCTGCCATACGGAATTATGCATCTACTGCTTGCAGAATTGCTACAACGGCCACGGCAGTTTTTAGCTTTCGCGCATGTCTAAGTTGTCGTTCTCGGGGAACTGGGGTAAAAGTGGTGCTGTTGCTGTTGCGACATGCGAGCCATCCCAAAGCTGCCACCAATTATGTGCAACTACTTTGAAAGTCCATCAGAAGCGTGTGCTTTCTGGCACTCGCTGTCCTAGCTATGTAAAGCAGGCCTCTGATCTTCGAATCAACGAAGCAAGCTGCACCAAGCTATTGGCACATGACAGGTCCTTGGGCTGAACGCTGCAACGCACACAAACAATCTGCTCAACATGCCGCAGACATTACAGCAATGCTGGAAGGAAACGGTGAGGGGTCTCCCCCTGCTCCTTGACCGGCGAAAGTGATGTCGTCCTGTGTTGCGTATGCCGCGTTTGCTTGCATCATTCATTAGCATGTCCATCAGAGACATTGGTCATCAAACAGCTCTAGCACATGCTTCAATACAGAGAGCTATCCTTGCCAAGTTCATAGGTGTGTTTACTAAATGGCATGGAAGCGGTCTCCTGGATTGCCTTGGTGTCCTTGCCGCAAACTCCATACTTAGCCAAGCTGCCTGATGCAACACATGACACCACTCCGCACCGCAGGTTCCACCACTGCGCAGAATTAGTGCTGAATGCCTCTGTCTAACCAAAAGGGACAGGATGTAGCAGGATGTTTGCAAAAAAAACTTGCCTGCCTTGCCTCCACAGCTGAGGTATTTGGACTTTTCAGCGTGCGAGGCTGCGGCTCCGCCTCTCTGCTCCCGGTGTGAGTTCTGCGTTTCCAGACATCTCGAAGCCTCACGAAGCAACTGAACGGTCTCTGGCGACCTGGAACGTGTCCTCATGGTGCCTAACTATTGAATGAAAGGCACTGTGTCTTGAGATCAGACGGGCACATGCTTGACCTCGCACTCCCTCCTGATCCAGACGAGGAGACTGGACCTTGCTTGTGCTGCGTGACTTTAACTTTACTACAAGGTCGCAGCTGCACGAAAGTCTTGGTAGGCACTGCAAAACCAAGGTTGTCTTCAGCCTGTTTTTCGCAGCAACACTACGGCACAGCAAGATTCAGCCATGAACTCTGTGCAGGGCTGGTTGGCCTTTGCCAGTACACTGTGAGACCCTTCCAAGCTTTACCTCAATGCAAGCTAAACAGGTGGACTAAGGCCTTGTGATATGCTTCAAGGCCCAACGCATTTCAAGCCACGATGACCCACTTTGCTGCAAAGCTGTTCTCAGTCGATCTGTGGCGAAATGCTGCATGTAACTTGGCGCGGATAGCATGCAGTTGTTGGAACATGCCGGACTTTTGCTTGTCCGTATCCACAAAGGAATGGCCAAACCTCGTCTCCACCAACTGCGATGGTGTGTCGATTTTGTGCTTCTAGAATGTCTTCCTCATCGAGCTGTCTCATTGCTTCGAGAAGGAAATCTGCCTGCTCATCTTTGGTCTTTGCCTCCACGTCCACGTTCACGCCTCCGATCTCACACATCTGCCTTGTTAACTTCGAAGGAACTTGTTCAATCATGTTGCGGCAGATCTGAGACAAAAGGACCTGCTCCAAATCGAACTTTAATGGAATTGGCAACTGGCGAACCACCTTCATGATAAGATCCACCTTCCGCAGCCGCTGCTGCTCACCCTTCAGCTCTAGCATCTTCCTCATATTCACACGCTCAATTGACACGAGAACGACAATGAGGTTGCCCCGCTGGAAGTGCTTCTTAGCCTTGGCACTGATGGCTGCCTCATCACGAAGCTTCTCGCAAATCATTTTCTCAACCCCTTCTGCCAGCCTGGATGCATACTTATCATCCAGAATGCGATCAGCTAGCAGGTCTACTGAGGTGCTCCTGCTGCTACGGCCAGTTGTTGTGGCTCGACTGTAGAACGGGTTTCGGCCACTTTCAATCACGATGTTTAAGTAGAATTGGACTGATGCAATGTGCTGCACGTACAGCCAGCACCAAAGTCTGGCCAAAGCCAGCCACTGAATACCATACGCTGCCAGAGCACGAACATTGACGACTGTGCCTGCACGACCTACTGACTGAATGAGCGCAAAGAGCGTTTCCAGTATCCAGAACGCAGTCCACCACCGCACAGCTCTGTAGCTTGCTGTGCATTCATTCCTGGCAAAGTGCAAACCGGCAAGAGGAAACACCACGTTCCACACGCCAGAGAGTGTGATACTGCGACCGAACATCTGCAACAGCAAGCTGAACAAGCCAAGCACGGCATGCAAGGCGAAGAATTGACGTGCCAGCAGCAACAACTCCAGCATGCTGAGCCTCTCAGGTTTTTCCACCAATCTGTTTACAAGATCCCATCGGAGTAGGTGTCTCGTGAACGCATTGCCTGAGAAGCTGTTCCACAGCGACTTCAACTTTGCCACGTCAACAAGGCGGCGGGACATGGGCACCGCCAGGTCAGGGAGAAGGCGGCATGCTACAAAGGCTATGATCACACTGGATGCTGCGGCATGGAACGACAACAGCTACTGACAGCTTCAGGGGTCTATCGAGAGCTAAGAAGGGATACAAATGCGGAAGCTTTAGCAGTTCACGGTGCAGCCGGGCTTCTCAAGCAAGAGGTCTGCGAGGAGCTTGTGTAATTCCTCAAGAGTTGCTTTGACTACTTGTCTGCTTTGCAGCTGAATATCTGTAGCTTATTCGGCTTGGCCACAGGGATGACCCAGAATCGCCGCGAATCCGCGCCGCTGGCCCCAGATACTCAGCACAGTCCCGATCAACTTGTCTCGTGAGACTCTTCCTGGCAAGCCTGCAGCGAGCTTCTTGCAGTGTAGAGTGGCCGCTACAGTAATCAGACCCTCCCCCCTTCATGTTCCACAACGACCGTTAAACTAGAAGCCTCCCGCACAAGCAGCTGCTAACATTTTACAACAAGCAATCGGCGTGCCTGTCGTAAGCCGGCTCCGGAGTCCTGCATTGTCGCGACCCTGTGGAGCCAGGTGTTGTAGGCAAACCGGGGCTCAGGGACTGGTGTCCTGGTCCCGTGGCTCCAGGTGACAATTGCAGCGGCGGAGCTCCCAAGACCAACGTGGACCGGCCACTCGAGGCTCTCTTTGGTGCTCTATCTGGTGGTGGCACAGATGGCATCTCCATCTTGCCTAGCAAGCCCGAGCCCAGCAAAGGTCCTTGTTTGTCGGGCGATGTGAGCAGAGTCGGACTCAGCAAAGGAGCTGCAGGAGCTGCGGGATCATTTTGCGCTGGAGATGTGCCAGCTGAACTTGGAGGTTCAGCGAAGACCTCTCAGGCTTGCAGCCAAAGACCAATCGCATGCTGCAGCCACGCCTTTGCCCTCTGCTAGCCCCCTCTCTAAGAGCGCCCACCACCCCCCCTCCCCCCCCGCACACCCGGCTCTAGCGTTTGGGCCAGGAGTCTGACATCCGTGGGCTGAGCTTTGTCCACAGTTTGGTTGTGTTACCATGATAGTTAAACTAATGTAGCCTTCAGGCCTCCAAGCTCCTCATGCAGTTCCAAGGCTTGGCCAAGGCGGTCAGCGCACAGCACTTACACTTGCCTCCATGAACCTGGCAGCCTGCTTAGCTACTCCCAGGGTCCCACACGCACAAAAAGGAAACCCACCTGCCTTGCCCGGCAGCGCGGGTCCTTCAGCGAGCGTATGCGGCGGTCTCTGTGGGCTGGGCATCTTGGATCGGACCATGTCCAAGTCGTGCCTGCCTGGCTTTGGTTCTGGGAGTGCCCGCTCCACGCCTTCACGCTCTCCTGCAATCTCAGAAAAGCTGCGAGGGTCCTGCGCTGGCCCAATGTCTAAGTATGGCGGGGCAAAACGGCATTGTGACCATACATCCGTGGCAAGAGCCAGGACTTCAATGTCCTGCTTGACTCTGGCACAGTCTGTGGCAAAGCTGTGCAAGAGGCCAAAGAAATCACGCTTCCCATCCTGGTCGTCTTTAGGCGGAGGGTACACAAACGCGGGATCCTCGAAATAGAGACTCACTTCTCTGTAGCCTTGGAGCATCTCGGAGCTTCGTTTCCAGATCTCCGCACAAGCTGACCGTGAAGTTGCCACAAAGCTCTTCATGCAAAGGAAGAAACAGTCTTCCTTTCTTGACAGCTCAGCTTCTCCCTCTTGGGCAGGAGTGAAGCAAGGGATTTTCTCACCTTTGAACACCCCAGTCTCGACGAGGTTTTCCATGTGGCGGAAGCCTTCCAAGTGACTGAGGACGTCGTGGTGAACTGTGTATGCACGTCTGAGGTGGGCAGATTGCAGGGCATCCAAGAATTCTGGGGCGCATAAGTCATTCACGTCCTTGACCTGCAAGTGCATGAGAACGAAGTGGAACAAGGATACGTCGCGACGAAATGGTGATCTCAAGTCCAGTAACTTGGAGATGCCTCGGGCAGTAAAGGCGAGGAGCATTCAAAACAACTGTTTCAACAAGTTTTCCGAAAAGCAGTGAGGATGAGGAGTGGTCATGTAGGAGCCGAATTCTCAAAAAAAGGTCCTTTGCATTTCAGTGTACTGGTAGGGCGCTTTTAGGTTGCCAAAGTTTCAAAACCAAATATTATGCAAAGGGTTCTGTGCATCTTGCAGGGGACTGATAAGTCTGAAGCCTCGCTCCGTCGTGTTCGCCATGGAGCCAGTATTCAAGGCATTTCCCACTTGCAGCACTGTTGCCCAGAATCGGCGGATGGCCGGCAGCCGTCTGCCTCAACAGCTGAACTCATCGAGAAGCTGATTGTAAAAGACCCGTGCAAGTGACGAATGTGCAGCTATGCTACAGATTTGCAGAAGAGCCCGCCACAGGGAGTCCAGGTTGTCCTTGCATGTCTCGAGTTCCTCCGAGAACTTTTGCACGAAGGCCATGCACTCCAGCCTGGGACAGGATGGCAGGATTCTTATCATGGCCGGTTCGCCGGTTGCTAGAAGGAACACTCCAGAACGCTTCACGTAGAATGCAGGTATGTTTTACAAGTGTTGTTTGCGCTTGCTGGAATGCCACGAACCCCCCCCCCCCCCCACAAACAGTTTGCCCACCCTCTTTTTCGCATGGCATCCTAAAGACTACATAGGCAGGGTCGCCTTGCAGCAATGGCGGGTATTCGCACCAAGCCAAAGAGAAGGCGATGGAGATGAGGATGCTCCAGCCTGTGAACTGTCACACATGCTAGGCAACTCAAAACATCGTGGCAAGAAACGTCAAGGAACCCATCAAATTGCACACCGCTTCTCCTAAACCACGCAAGCCTTGACAAGGCTTCAGTCCCTCGGCTCTCGACGAAAGAAAGGATACTTGGATTGCTGCCATCCAAGTATGAAGGCACCACCTTTCTGAGATCCTGGTGGCAGCACGGGGTCACCATGCAGCTGAACAGCTTCGAAACAACAAGCACGACGAAAGGGACTGCAGCCTCAATCCCAGCAGACAAGATTCACCCAAAATTGAGCTGCTCAGGCGAGCGGTGTCGCAGCGTACTAGGGCAGTGAGTAAGTCAGAGACTGCATTCTCCACCCCATCCTGCAAGCACATGAACATGCGAAGACGGCGAGGGAATACCACTCTTGAAAGGTGCATTTAGACAATCCTGCTTCTGGATCGCTGCTCCGCGCACCATCAAGTCCAGCATGCGTTGATGGGTGCTGTCCACCTGACGCATCATGGACAACCAAGCTCCGCAGGTTGCCATGGAGATGAAGCATGCGTTCTTTGGAAGAACACATGGCGGCACAAAGCAAAACATGAACAACCTGCCAATTGAGTTACACTTCGCGATTTTCAGCCAGGCCACTATCAACGATGTGACATCTGCTGTGCAAGATGCTCGGGCACAAATGTCGAAGGTTGCTGCGCGAGCTTGGAAGAATTCTTCCAACTGGTGGTGCTGTAGCTCTAAAACAGGCACGTCTGTCATCGCATTAAAAACCTTGGATGCGCATCCTTTGCTTCAGGTCTTGAAGCTCCACCAAGATTGTGTACAGGTGCAGAGACAAAAGAAAAAGAGACAAGGGAACCACTGGGCTGGGCTGAGACACGGTTCGTCGACGGCGTCTTCCCGAAGCCGTTAAACCGCGTTCTGGCTCAACTTGGCTCTGCTCCTGCCAGTCCCCACGCCGTTGTAGCTTGATGTATGCACCCTGCGACAGCCGACGAAGCAACTAATCGACACTACCCCACCTTCAACAATGAGAAAACTTGACAGAAGTGGTACAACTAAAGGCATTTGGAGGCCCCTTGGGACTTGGTTCTGAGATCGCGCCTTGCTGAAGCCAGGCACAAGAAGTGCGGGTTCCTACTTCAAAGGTCCTTTGAAAGTAAAGTCCTGGCATCGCATGAGCCAGTTTTAGTAGCATTTGCACTATCCGCACCATGTGCAGCACGCAGCTGCGGCCATTGCATCCAAGGTTAAAGCTTTTGGAGCAAATTGGAGCAAGAACGATAACGAGGCTTCTCAGAGGCTGGCGCTGCATGCAATCCTACATCCTGTGCCTCAACAAAGCTTCCGAATTTGGCGACTGATAGGCCGACTCGACTTTCAAAGCAGCTGATGCTCTGCCTGCCAGCGAAAACACCACCAAAGATTTGCAAAAGTTTGCAAGCGGATCCAGAAACTCGTGCCTCATTCTGTCCGTGCGGTCCAAGTCCCACCTGCATGAAGCAAATGACCAGCCAAACATAATGCTACAAGCTGTAGATTGCACGGAAAGGTGCCTTTCCATCACATTGGCCATGCCCTGCAAATACCTGAGCAAAACTTGCCCGTCTGAAGCAACCCACGCCCATGCTGTTACTGCGAGCAGAGAAGCCCATCTTTGCCAACATCAATCTCTGTTTCCTACGGCACAAGGGCCAGTCAAGATTGAACATTGGACTCCGCATTACACCTCACCACAGGCAGAAAATGGGCGTAGACTGTACCAGACATGTATGTAGGTATGTATGTACATATACGTATATGCATACTCATGTGTTTAAAGCTGCTAGTTATTGTTAATGTATCCATCTGATTTACCGGTATGCTGGATGCTCAAACAAATCTGGTAGCATGGGCAGAAGCCCGTCCTCCGGTGGCCCTTGTGAAGCTCGCCAGTGCAAGTTCACCAGCCGAGCAGACTGCTGCACCTCTGCTAGGCTCAGACAAGCCTACAAATATGACCTTGATGGTTGTCGTTAGCCTTTCGTGCGGGATCTTTGGAGGCCAGTGTTGAAGAAGCTTTGCAGCAGAGTGGCTGGATCGTCCCTCAAATCTGCGAGCTCCGAATCAGTCAAAGATCTTGTGAGACTTCTGGCTTTGGCCTTGCCAAGCTCCGTTCAGGAACCCTTTGCTGAATTGTCAGTAGGTGAATATGGTGAAGGGGGAGGTCCCAAGTATGTATAAACAACCGCATAGTGCCAAGACCTCAATCCATGCTGCCAAAACAGCGTCTTCGCCTTGCTGGGCGGTGGAGCAATGCCTGGGCCTTTGCCCTTTGCCTTTGGTGGAGGTGGTTTAGGCAAAGAGCCGCGAGGTGAGCGATTGCCAAAGCCTCCTGCAGGTGGGGATCAACAATGCTAGTGGAGACAGAATCACACACCATCCATTGGCCATGTTTTTTTCCGTGCCTGGAGGTGGTGGACCTGGAGCCTCACAGCAGGCGTCAGCAAAAAAAGCAGCAGCAGGGGAGGTCAGGAAGACGGACGATGCACGCGCTCACAGCACCCGCCTTCGCCTTGCCAAGAGGAGCCACGCAATCACTGCAGCCTTCCGCAGCTCCTGAAGGTCAAAAATGTGAGAGGAAGAAGTGTTCGCTGGCTTTCTTATGGTCTGAGCTGGATGCATGAAGCGGTGTGGCCACAACCCGAGACAATGACAGGATAAATGCCATGAGTGAAGACAAGTTCTTGAGGCCTCTGCACCTCTTCCCTAGAGACCGAGTTTTGCGCCTGCATCGTCAGCAGCCCCACTTTGAGATTCGCTTAGCTCAGTCTTCAAAGGACCTCCACGAGCAAGGGGAGGTACCAGTGTCTCTGATCTAAGGAACGCGGGTCACTAGGCCAAAGAAACTTGAGCGCAAGGTCCAGCCTGCGCCAGAACCTGCTAACTGTAGGTCTTTGCGCCTCGCTTACAGCACTCATTGTGGTCTTGCCATGTCCTGCGTTGTTGTGGTGTCATGTGGTTGCCAGGCTTGCTGTCTTACCTTCGCATGATCAAGACCAGGGTCGCGGCTGAATGGATTGCAATCGGATGAGCTGGAGCTCCTCTGCGCGATGAGTTTAGACTGAAAGAAGTCCAGCCCGTCCCAGGGTCCTTCTCTAGGTCCCGAAGCTCACTCTGCCTCACACATCGAGGATCCTTCACATATCCTCATATACCCCACCCAGAACTGCACCCACTGAGGAAATGACTCTGCCGCAATGCGCCTTGCCAGGGCTCACGGTCGCAAACAGGCTCGCATAAGACGAGGACTTTCCAGGTCGACATGTCATCGCAAGCAGACTGGAGGCCTTTGACGCTCAGCCTTGCGATTTGATTGCGGCTGCTGCAGGCCATGTCTCTGAAGAGGACCGAATGCCTGCCACAGCATCCAACAACATGTCAAAGAGATTGGAATGACTAGAATCGGCACATGCACTTCGCATGCCGGGCAGTGGCCTCCTCACAGCCTTTCAGAAGCTGCTGAAGCCTGGAATTGCATTCCTTAGTCTGGACAAAACTGGAGCAAAGGGAATGTTCAACGAAGACGTTCTAACTAATTACACGCCTTCACTCTTAAAAGGAGCTGGACAAGCTGTCCGCTATTGGAGATCAATGCCTGGTACGTTCGTTTTCTTTTGTTGGGCGCACGCTGGAAGAGCATGGGGATCCATTCATGTAATGTAGTCAAAGGGACACACTCGGAAACATGGCCAATTACATAGTGCACAGAGTTCAGGAAACTTTGGAATTTCCGTGTTGCCGTTGCGCACGGAGATTCAGCATATGCCATGATGCCATGGAAGGCCAGCAAGCACAGCAAGGACAAACCCTTCAGGCCCCGGACGCTGGCTTTCTCAAGCTCAACAGGTCTCGACTCACTGACAGAGCATGTGATGGCTGGCGCCTGGCAATCCCCGTAGGTCCAGCAACTCCGGTCCAGCCATTGCTCTTCTTGCTCACCCCTGCCTCCAACTCATCACAGAGCTTCTTGACGCGATCACGCAAGTGGTGGACCTATGCTGCATTGATTCGACGTGGTGAGATCTGATAAACTTGAAGCGGAGGAGTGCCTCCTCCAACGCGGCTCGAAGTTTTTGCTGCAAATCCTCATCCACCGCATCTACCTCAGCAAACTTGGAACCCAACCTCTGCCAGACAAAGGTACGAGACTCACGGTAAGAGGCGAACCTCCATCCACCTGCAGGAAAAGATGCATTTGACATAAAAAGCCACTTTAAGACTTACCGGGCAACTTCACTTGATGGGCACCAGCACAGGGCATCCCCCAAGCATTTCCTGCCTCCCACTGCTCGGTGGGCCCAACGCTAACGGGGAGCGAGCCGAAACGCTCAAAGCCGCAAAGAACTACGAGCATCAACGCAACAAACATGTCCCAATGACTGACTGGTTTGGCTTCCATGTTTGGGCTGACCGGCATACAAGGAGAATAGCATCGAATCTCAGGTCTCAACCAACGCTCATGCGACAAGTCCACCACCGAAACTTCATGTCCAGCATCCTCCATGCAGAAAGCTTCAATGTGGATGCATTTGCCGCGTGCACTGGTAGCGCAACTTTCCCGACATATATGCAAAATACGAAACTCCGCGCCGTCAGGACGATGACACGCGTCTGCGGCTTGAAATTCTCCAATACCTGTCAAGAGGGACAGGTCCTCGCTGTAAACTACAAATAGCAAATCACCAATGCCACGAGGAGCAAGTGTGGCGAACTCGTCCTCCAGAAACAAAGTTGCCGGCGAGGCCTCGCTGCCCAAAATGGAGCATTCAGAAGTTCCGTCACGGGCCAGGCCTTCCCATTTGGGTCAACGAGTACAAATGCCTCATCGTGGAGGCCCTCAGGGCATGTTTCATAAACGACACCTAGCCACTGTCCTGAAACCTCCCAAGATCGATAGAACGGCTGGGGATTTGAGGTCCCAAAATGTCCCAAACATGGTCGCCCACCAGTCATATATAGCTCTGAGGCGTACAGAAAACACCTCCCTTTCCAGTGACGTTCTCACCCCTGCTTCAGGTAGCGAATTTGCTGAGCGTGAGTGTATTGTCGGTTGGCCGGAGTGGAGTAGATCTTGGAGTAGGGGTTAGGAGAACCTGTGGATCCAGGCGAAGCCTACAAAGGCTCTACCGAAGAGTCTCAACCCTGTCAGAGTCGGAGATGCTCAGAGAGGAATGGATTCATTGTTTAGCTTCGTCTGCGAAGCAGAGGGCATAAGTGTCTCGCATTACCGGGGTCCACTCCCTGCAGCACATGAAAGGCCTGGCGGTCAGGATCGCTCAAAGCCGTGGCATGGCCCTCGAAATACATCACGAAATAATCGTTGACGTCACATCTTGACCTGGCTGCTTTGGATTACGCACTTGCAGACGCGGAAAGGCTGCAGCCCTGTTCTGGGAATCTCCGCATTCGTTTCCGACACTAGATCAGGGCTCATTTGAAGCTGAGGTCTAGCTGTGAAACCGGCTCTGACGAATTTAGCAAATCGTCTTGAATTTCCATAGTCCGACACAGTCACGTCTTCACAAGCTCATGCATCGTGAGATACCCTAGGCTCCGCCAGAATAATATGGCGTTACGAGGATTCTTGTGAAACTTAGAATGCGCCATCCAAGCTTGCAAAAGAGAGCGCAAGGTCCGAGAAGCCGGGCTTGGCAGCCGCCTCCAAAGCGAGACAAAGCGTGCACTTCTCGGGAGCTCGAAAAAGGTTGTGAAGCTTGTGTAGCCCGCCTGTTCCGGGATGGCTGCCTCTTCCTGGCGAATCGTGCAGTGGGGGTCTGCATCACCTCGAAAAGACAGGAGGGAAAAACTAAACTTCTCAAGCCACATCACATGCACTGCCAGCAAGCAAAAACCCGGTGCCCAGCATGAGGCAGGCAGGTCCTCGGTGTTGCTGGCAGCTAGCTGCATTCAAGCAAACAGCATTGAGCAAACTCTTATCAAGAAACAAATCAAACCAAAGAGAAAGTAAGCTAAGAATGACGACAAGAGACGGCCTCGCTACCTCCTCTGGATGCTTTTCCCCATTTGCGATGACCTAGTGCCGGAGGTTCAGCGAATTTCGCGCTTACACCTTGCAGGAACAAGGGAAGCTTGACTGCATCACAATCATCAAGCACTTCTTACGCTTAGCCGGCGGCTCTCGCTCGCACGCTTGAGTGCCAAAAGAAATGCAGGATCATCAGCCGATCCAGCCTTGGCGCACAGTAGCTGCCCGGCAAGTCGCTGTTCTTTGTCTAGGCCGCTAGTTGCCCTGGCCCTCCGCCGGGGCAGGGATACTGACAGACAGGCTAGAGACATCCCCTTGGCACCGTCTGATTGTGCTTGCCAAGCAGCACTCCCGATTTGCATTTGCCGCTCACTTTTCGGAGGAGGTGGCGGCTGGTGGCTTGTTTCGGAAGTCACCATGCTTTGGGCCTCGATTGTCCAACAAAAACAATGGCCCACAGAACAAAAATTCCAGATGCTGTGAGGCGGCAGTATCATCAACTCCCGCCTTTGGTATGCAAATTGATCCGAGGTAAAAACCGGAAGCTGCTATGCTGCCGGCACCTGCCCAGGAGTCCACTGGGAGCGCCAAGATGACTTTCCAGAAATGCGGGAGCCATGCGTGGCGGCTGACCTCAGCTGTGCAGTTTCATTTCGCACCATTAGCCATAATTTTGAGCGTAAGCCCAGTACTCTTCACCGGCTGTTGTTGGCCTCTTGCAATGGACCCAAAGCCCAAGCTTCTCCGAAATCCAGGCTTGGTTGACACGCATGACAAATCTGCCTCGAAGAGGAAGAAGATGCAAAACCTGCAATTCCGAGGGGAGCCCGTCGGAAGGATGCAGGCCTTTCTCGAAGTACAAGCATTTCCTGCCAGGCGTGGCCCACGAACATGAACTTATTGTTGTGAAACTTTTCTCCCAGAACCGCCCAGCCTCCGAGCATTCGGCCTTGGCATCGGACACCTCCCCGATATCTTGCGTGCAAGTATGCCGGCCGCGCTCTTCTGAAGGCAGCGGGGGCAACAGCACCCACGCTTCTGCAAGGGGAATCTCTTCCCCTAGCAGCTCTGCCGGCAACTGCTGTATTTGGCACCCTTGTTCGGATAACGCTTCATCTACCGTTTTTCCACATTCTCGACCGGCCTTGGCAAATTGCAAAAAAAGCAAATCCAATGGATTGCAAAACAAGATGGTGGGGCATAAAAAGAAATGGCCAAAAACCAGCACCGGGTAGCAGCATGCTTTGATTGTTGATGTGCTGAAGTAGACATGCACCTCGGATGCAATGCACAATGCTCACCAGGATTTGGAATATATTAACATCCTGAAGGCCACATGACAGAGACTTGGACCAGCCGCTTGGATCTACAAGTTTTTGTTTTTTCTCTCGGATCTTTTTCCGAACTACAAGATTCTGCAAGCACACCCAAAGCTTGGACTCTTCTCTGCCATGCCGCTTGCGCTGGCTTGCTTTGGCAAAGTCCACTCTGGCTTGCTCGCCTGATGCAGACTGCAAGGTTGATGTCGTACCCGCCGTCAAGGTTGGTAGGTCCCAAGCCTCCACTGCATTCTCACTGCTTGCAACTGCACTTAATGGTGATCTGCGCTCCACTCCTATCCCTGGCGCTGACGCCAGTGACGCAATACTCAAATTTAAAACGCATGTTAAAGGTTCAAGGGATCGGAGTACCCGAAACTAGATTGCCTCAAACGGCTGCGAGGGGGATGATATGAACACAAACGCATGTCCGCTGCAATGTCGGCCACTTCCAGCTGAGATCTGTAAAGCAAGAAGGACTGAGCTCTATGGTTGGCGATAAAGTTTCTAGTTTGCTGAAGATATCTCAGGCTAATTCATGACCTTGTTGTACACCAGGTTTTGCTGAAAATGCTCATGATTGCCCCTACGTACGATACAGTAGGATACACTCAATGCCAAATCTACCTGATCTCGCATTTCACTATTAATTACAAATGGGTGGAAAAGAAACACTGTTGATTGCTTGCTCTCTTGGCCTTCCGACCTATGCAATCCAATTTTGTTGTCCTCCCAGACGCAAACGACAAGAGCATCCCATGCATGCACGCGCATGTGCCACGCATGTCGCGCCTCCACAGGACTGGTGCCAGGATCCACCGACACACGGGTATGGTACTGAGATTTGCTTCGAGCTTGTGGGAAGAGACAACGTGCCAGCCATCTCAAACCATCAGATCTCTCCCTGCATATCGATGGCTGGAGGAGAACCCCATCAGCGGCCTGGCGTGACATGCGGGCAGCACAATACCTGCCGCGTGAGCCGACAAAAATCAAGCTGGATTGGCCTCTTGGGTGCGGTCATCCTTCATCCCGTTTGGGAGAAGCCAGATCACCGGCTGAACGAGCCCAATGTTCGAGGAACAGACATATGATCAAGAGTTCAAACTTGGAAGTGCCCCCATGCTGGATCTTCTGACAGTCCCTCGCCACAACCTAACTGAGGTCTTGCCTGCACCCCTGACGCTGACACCAACCCTGCTAAACATTGCCATGGCCACCCGGCGTTCCTGATTGCACGCCGCACGGCATCTTTCGTGCACTGGTTGTTATACAAAGTCAGAACCTCATCGTGTGGTACAGATTTTGGCAACCCAAATTCAACTGCCATTCTGAATCTTCAGTCACGCACCTCATGGACTCCACATTGTTTCGCCTGAGATACATCTCCATGTCATCAGAACCGCTGGAAGCCTCTTTGCACCCTGGGATCGCGACCAACTCTTCCATGTGTTTGGCATCGCTGACGCTCGGTAACCGTTGCTGGCTGTTTGCATAGTCCAAAGCCTCACTGAATGAGCACGCCAACTATGCAGCCCGGAAAAACTCCGTGCCCAGCCAATATCAGCATGTAGATTCGATGGTCCTTCGCCGAGAACACATCAGTAATCAGCCGGCTGCAAAAACACGCTAAGGCAATTTTGCAGGTGCCTCTCTGTGAAATATGGGAGCCTGGGATGCATGCACCAAAAAAGTTTCGTGATTTGTATACGGTAGATTGAGACAAGCAACTGCTCGCTTGTAGTTGGATGCTCCGCTCACTTGTCGGTTCCGCTCCTTCACCGCCTGAGTTTGGCCGAATGCATTGCGACTGGCGAAAGTACAACAATTTCTGGCAAAGCATCCCTTGGTACACCTTACATTTGCATGCTTGGGACCACGACGGAGCTCATGGCAACACCGTCACTTTGGAAACCGGGATTGCAAAGTCTCAAGTTGGATGGGTTGTCGTTATTACATGGCTAATTCTGATGTAAAATGGATGCGTGTGGTGTGTGGCAAACAATTGCAACCACAGTATGCGCGGATTGTCGGGGTTCTTGCGCACAAACCTAACAATGGGCTGTTCGTGTGTCAACATGAAGGTCCGCGAAGAACAGTCGCATTGCTGAATCCAGGTGCATGCATGCGTCATTTCATCTATGCTGCTATGACTGTGATAGGGCAACGGTGTGAATATCGGAGTCAGCGAACGCAACCCCCCGCCCCCCTTGCGGCCAAACAGGGACACCCCGCACACTGCGTTTGTCTGCGGCACTTCTACGCTTCGACGGAAGCAAGGCACTATACTAGAACACGACGCTACGCCCCAAAACTATCCCAAAACATTCCCCTTCAAGGTCTGACAGTGACGCTCCGGCAACAGTTCAACAAGCCGGGCCCCCCAATCCGAGCCTGATTGCAGCATCCGAGTCTCCACGAGCCCGCCCTCCCAAACTGGCAAGAGAGAGTACTCTCGAACCAGCCTGGCTTGGATTGAGACACTTGGCAAAACAGCTCACTCCTCCGACCCAGCAGTTTTTCTTCCTACGATCCTTCGCAAGAATACAAAACTGGGGCGCAAGCACGGAAAAAGGGTATGGCCGTTCCCTGACCAACTTAGTGTCGGCTTGGTGTGGTGGGACACCGCCTGAATTTGAAGGGAGCGCCCCGGACAAAAGCCGGAAAACTGTTTATAAAATGGGGAAAGGCAATGTCAATTCATAGGCACTCCGCAAACATTGTACAAATATAAAGATGGGGGAACCTTTCGTCAAATTTTATGTGTTGCATAAAATGGAATATATATATATAGGCTCAGATAACGTTTAAAGCGTGTGTAAAATCCGGTTTCGTAAACGCCAAGAATATGAAGGTATGTCAAAAATATGAAAGGCTGAACACACACATGTGCATGTATGTGTGTATATATATAGACTGTATTATGCCGTTTATGGGCATGCTTTCTTGGATCGTTGTTTCAACCCGGTGGTGTATTTTTGTATCCTTTTGTGTAACTACGATCAATGTATGCGGATACAATATACCACATCCCCGCTCCATTGGCTTTTCTGAATGTCACAATGATATTACCCCCATGTATTCCCCAATTTACACAACAAATAGGTGGATTCCTTGTGGAAAAAACATTGCTCCATGAAAAGGGAAAGGCAACGTCAACTCATTGCAGGGGTGGTACCCCCACCCATTTCACGAGGGGTGTCTGAAAGGGGATCCCACAGCAGCAGTGAGCGTCACGGCAGGGACGCAATTCCACGTGCGTTGCCCAGCTCAGCGCATCTTAATTGGCCGGCATGCATGTGGCGTGCAACGGGCGACCCGTTAACAAAAACTGCGATCTGTCTGGCATCCTGCCTGGCGCGGTCGAGATTCAGGTCCAGGAGATCAAGGCAGCAGGGCTTTTTTTAGTGCTTGTAGCACCATCATTCCGAGCAGATTGAATTTGCCTTCAATCATAAGAAATACAACGGGTGTCCACCATATCGAATGTAAAACGATGATGGGAACACGATGGGGAATCATGAAAATGATAGGGAATGAGCCAGAATGTGCTAAAACATGGTGAGGACACATGACGACAAGATGGAGATGACAAATCGTGGCACATGAAAATGATGAAATGATGATTTGTTTGTCCCTTTGTTATTTGTCATGTACGCCCGCAATTTTGTTTGAGCATTTTTTGCACCCGCTTCCCAAAAGTCCCCGTCGGGGGCAGGTCGGCAAAGCAACCGGAAGCGGCAATTGCAGGCGCCTACCGTGCCCGCCGGGAGAGGGGGGGGGCGACTGGCCGGAGTGCCGGCACGCAATCATTCCCGTTCGCTTTCCCTGCCAGTGGCAGCTCGATCAGGGAACCGGCGTAAAATTTGTCCTTGCGCGATTTCAGTCCGGCCTCTGTGAAACACAGCCCTAGCCCATTGCTGCCACACTCAACAGGCACAACAGGAGAGAAAAGCCTGGATTATTGAAGCTCGGTGGGCTATGAATACGTTCACAACTCACGAGATACTGACAGGACTTCCCTCACATGTTCCCTGACTGCTGAACAACCAAGGGAGCAAAGAGCCCACCACACAACCGCAACCAGGTGCTGGATTGGAAGCAGCCATGCAACCCATGATTGACTTTTCTAGGCGTGATAACGACAATGGAGATCAAACAGGCAGCAGAAAGCAGGAGGAGGAGCAGGAAGAGGAGCAGGAGCAGCAGCTGCAGCGGAAGCTTGCGCTGCAGCTGCAGCAAAGGCAGCAAAAGCAGAACACGGAGAAAAGGAACAAGGAACAAGGGGAAAAAAACCGCCAGAAGAAGGCCAAATCACAGTTGTCGGGGGGTAGGGGGTCGGCGCACCAAAATAGAATACTGGTTTTGGTTATGGGCCATGGGGAGCACCGAGCCGCTGCCGCGAACCCAACGGAGTTGTCCGTTTACACGCCAGTCCGACCCCAAAGCCCGCGGACCCGGGCTTCCTCAATATAGAGGACCCGAATACCCCACAGCGCAATGGAGGAACCCAACAAGCTGAGAAAACTTTGGAAAATGGCCCACCTTGCATAACCCTCCTTGTTTCTCAGGATGCGGGTTGGTTGGACAAAATTTCGTTCAACAACCCAGCTGTAGCAGGGACGGTTGCCTAGCTCATGCAGTTGTTGGCAAACAGTTGACTCAGTACTTCCTTGCGTCCTTATTTTTGGGATATTGGCTTGCTCTTTAACGCCGAAGTCCCAAACTACAAAATTTGCGTTTTTTGTGGAGCTCTTGTTTTTCAGTCGGCCTTTTCCGCTTGTACGATGGTATGTCCAGTCGGTTCCAGCGCCCCAACGTTGTGCCGCAGTCTGTGGCCGCCGGCATTGTTTTGTGTCACTGTCGTTATGTTCTTCTTGCGCCTTGCGTCTCCAACGCAGAGGAAATTTCAAAGTTTTCCGCATTTTAATCAGGTGTGATCATGTTTGTATCGATTATGTTTCAATTTTTTTTCTCTCAGACTTTTACGCCTGCATGACGGGTCCGTAAGAAATCCTCGCTACTGGTTACGTTACCACCTACCTACGCGCGGTCCTGTTTTAGGGCCGCAGGGGCAATCGGCTGGGCCCTGCGTCCTCCAGAGTCGGGCCCCCATCGGAGCACGGCTGTGCTGCTGCGGGCCAGGGGCGGCCCAGGGCAGTGCTTGCCACCGCGAGCCGCACCGCCACTGACAAGGCCCATCGTCGCGCCCATGCGGACGCTGCGGCGCCCCTGACGGCAGGAGGCGCGCGTTGGGCCCGC